TTATGACATCAAAAAAGGCTCAATGAATGAAATATTTTGGTCGTTGGCGAAAAGAATGTAACAATGAAAGCGAAGTGGTCGTGTTCTGGGATGTTATCTTTTTTTTACTGCCTCATGCAACTTTTCTTGCGCCGTTGATGTCACTTTATAATGGGGACGTATTCACTGAGCGACGTGGGGTTCGTGTTTGGGAATTCCGTTTAACAAAGTACATTCTGCCGTACGTTCGTTTCCCACGTTTTCTTCTCTATCGTGAAGGAAACGTGTGAAAGTAGTTGGAATATTAAAAGCTGTTTCATTTATGTATTACATGCAGCACACGTTTCCAACTCCACCTGTATGCTCTGGTCAAGCTCTACGGAGGAGTCGTTTTGTCACAACAGACATAATTCTCTTAGCTATTCAACGTGCACAGTGAAACTTTCATGATGCCACGGCATGCGATGTACGGAATTGTGGAAATTTACCTTCTATTTCTGTGCCACGCGATACATTATAGATGGGACAGCCAGTTGTTTTGGTAGAACCAGCTCACCTCACAACGTAGGCCGTAATAATACCAATCTTGATCGTGGGATGATATGTAGTGACCGTGCGGCTTTTGGCTTACGAGTTAGCTTACCTCGTCCTGAGATATTATTTTCTCAGAATGTAAATTTGCACGGAGTGCTGTAAAAAGAAACACGAGTGGGTCACCAAATGTGTTTGATTTTACGGCTTTCATTGAAAACTTGGTTATGCATAGCTGATAAATACGAGAAACAATATTTTACACACGTGTCGACGTTTTACGGAGAGTAATTGTGAAATTAATGTATGTAAGATAGTATAGAAACCAAGTATTGTACCTTAGTTTCTGGGCCTTATGGAGTCGACTGAATTAGGTTCTCTCCAGTTCGATAGTAATTCAACTTAAATATGTTATGAGTTAGGGGGAGATATCCCCAGATCTTTCTGTTGGCACAGATATGATCTCCGCCATAAAATGTCCAGAACGTGTTCAAATAAATCATTTAAAATAATTCAAGATAGATATAAAAAATTAAAACTATATTTTGTAATTTTTTCGTTCTACCCCATGACGTGTGGTGTGTATAAAAGTCGCGCTCCCTTCAGTGGAGGGCCCGGCGTTTGACGCGTGTTCCCCGACTGCGCGGTCCTCTCCGTTGCGAAAGCGCCCAGTCAGCCAGCCACGCGCCGGCAGCCTGTGCAGCGCTCGGCCCAAGAGGCTGCGTTCCCTCCCTCCCCCTCTCTGTCGCCCCCTCCAGCCCGTTCTCTCGCGGCCTCTGCGTCCGCCTCATCGCGCCATTGTCCCCCCCTCCCAAGCCTCGAGTTTACTCCGAGACATCGCCTGGAAAACCGCACCCCCCTTCGGACGCCTCTTTCAGACGCCTCTCTGACCTCCTTCGGTGGAATGTCACGTGACACGCGATGCCACGTTTTTGTTGTGAAAATGCAATGATTTCTGCCGTTCGATAACTAGTAAGAGACGTACACGTACTTCAGGTAGACTTTATGATGTATATTCTGACACAATATGTATTACAGTTTCATTATGTTTTAAAAAAATGACTTGCACAAAATGATCGAATGCTATGCTCGAATGACATTACATGGTCTCACAATTATGAGAAGGTAAATTTTTATTTTATTTACTCGTTGCACGTGGCCTTACCTGTCGTGCATATTACACTGTGTGCATAAAACAGAAATCATCTATAAAAGACCTGAAGCTTGCGGTGTAAAATGTTCAGCGTCAGTAGTTTTTTTTTGGTGGCGCTGATTCACGAATTTTTCATGTCAGTTGTTTGCTTTTATCATCCGGAGGGCAACTTGCAGCTCTGTTGATGTCGTGCAGCGATTCGGATGGATCCGAATCACGCCGCGGTCCGGCTTAACACCGGCCGAGGTGTCAGAAGTGACGTGTTTCCTCGGTTTGCCGCGAACGTTAGGGCTGTTCGCAGTTGGCTGCGGTTCACAATCTATGCTGGTTTGCACGCGGCTGTCAGAGCGCGCTCTCGCGGCTCCCAGCCCACCCACGCCGCAGCCCCTTCCCTCTCCGGCCATGCGATTACACACCGCCCCTATCCCTCATCCTGTCACACCCCTCCACGGCATTGCTCTATCCGTTGCCCTCGCCCTCGCTCTTGATCGCTATTACATCCTCATGGCCCCGTCGCTTGGTTTTGCGCTCGCAACTCACACTCGCACTTCCAATTGCCCTCTCTCTTGCAATTCGCGCTCTCACTCGTTCCTGCCCTCTCACTCTCACTCTTCACTCGCTTCTGTCTCCTTCCTCTCGCCCTCTCTCCCCTTCCCCCTGCTTCCGCTCAGCCTTCGCTCTGACGTCCTTACTATGTCCACCCCCACATACGCTTGACGCTGATCTCAGTCTGCAGCCCGTCCGTACTTCTCTCCTTCTCATTACCTCTCATTTACGCCCCTCGTGGTATAACTCGCCACTTTCTCTCCCCATTCGGTTCCCTCTCGCGCTCCATTCTCGCTTCGTCCCCGTTCCAGCCCCGTCAATTATCCCACCCCCTGCTCGCGCCTGCCCCCGTTCGCGTCGCGCCCTCTCCCGCGTTATTACATCGAGCCCGGCGTAATGACAGTATAAATGTTTTATTAGAGAAAGTATTAATAATGCGTTCTAAATTGTCGCTTTTATAACCGAGCCGGAGCCGCTCGGGATTTACATTTAAGGTCAGGTTTTTAATGGGTTTTAATGCAAGCACGAGTTGTTTACAAAAGAGCTTTCCCCCCCCACGGGGTCCCACCCACCCCCATTCGCGACCTCTCCCCCCCCCCTTCCCCCGCCATCTCGCTCTCTCTGCAACGAGCTTCAGCGCGGAATGCGGATAATTGGTCCTGCGAGGATCAGTTGGATTTGCACTGCACGCCCTGCAACAAACGGAAAACGCTTTTCAACTTTATAACCGCCCACGGGCCTTTTTTTTTCTATTTTTTCTACTTTCTTTTTCTTTACTCTTTTCCAACTTTTTTCTTTCCTCGTTTCTAAAAACTTGAGAGAGAGAACGAATGAAATTTTGTTTCATCTCAGGTCCTTCTCCTCCCCCGCCGCCCTCTCTCTCTTTCCCCGGAATCCCAATTAGTTGGGGGTCGCTTTTTTTCCTCGAGGAGACAGGCGTGAGAGAGGAGAGCGCGAGGAAAGGAAAAAAAAATATTATGAGGCAATTTAAGCATGTACACCACTACTTGCTAATCTGTAAGAAGATGGAAAGGCTGACGGGGGGTGCGTTTCGGGGGAGGCGGGGCGAGGACTCTGTTTAAGGACGGTGCCCGAGTAAGTTTAATTTTAATTCTTAGAGGCGCTCCGTCCCGTCCGCGGCCGTAATTAGTGAGATTCAGGCGCTCCGCGGCTGCGCCTCTTAAAGTAAAACTTACTTTGCAAACTCGCAAGCTGTTAATTATGTATAAGGATGTGTTCCCTCTTGCCTTCCGCCGTCTCACTCTCGCGCTCTCTCTCTTTCGTCAGCCTTCCTGCGTGGTTTCGCGCCTATCGCGCCCTCCCCCTCCCCTCACCCCCTCCGCCCCCGCCTTCGGCCCCGCCACGCCGCCCGCTCTGCTGCAGCGCAGGGGTGGCACCGCGTCGCCCCAGCGTTGGTGCAGAGACGGCGCGTGAGAGCAGAAGTTTGTAGTGCGCGCTCTTGTGGGCTTTTCAGTCAAACACCCCCCTCCGCCCCCACTACTCCAATTGTTTACCTCTGTATTCGGAGGGAACCTCGATTGCTCAAACAACGATGTATTAAATTTCGTGGCATCTCCAGTTTTATGGGTTGCCGCTTGCAACGAACGGTTCTGTTACTTAATTTCTCTCTGAATAAAAGTATGAATGCTCGATTACTCCGAAATCGATTTATCGAATTTCGTTTTACCACTGAATTTTGTAGTTCCCTTTTTCAAGTTTACCCAGCTTTCCGCAAGGCGACCCTCGTTGACTAGTTGCCTTTTTTTTCAATTTCCTTCCCAATTCTAATTAATCGTCTTAACCGCATTGAGTTTCTAAATTGAGGTAAATTTGTTGCTTTGTGGCGTATTAAAACTATTATAATTGGCAAAAATAGTCTATACTGTATTTACCAAAAAGTAATTAATAATTATTTATTTTATCTGATACTGTGATTTGGATCCGCTGCAATTATGTCCTGGTATTGCCGTATGTTCTGTCTAAGAATGAACTCTGAAAAAAAAAATAACGCTAATTCTGATATTACTCTTCATTCACAAATGTACTTTTTGAGGTGTTGTGTTTAGTAAATTATTATTCTGTGGAGGGAGTATCTTATTTTACGCTTCTTCCTACATAATAAACTCTTCTTAAATAATAGCCACCGCTAAACACTTTCTAGAACAATTTCTAACCCCATATTAGGTTTTTGTATACTTTTAGAAGGCATTCTCCTAGAGTGTTTTTATGCAAAACTTCACAAACAACCTCATCTACATTACGCCAACGTAACCCCTTAACTGCTGACCCGCAGTGAGCGTAAACAGATACTCTGAAGCCGCAGTGTGCATCGAGTTGTTTCTTTCTAAAAAGTCTTCGTGTTCATTGCAAGTGCTAACACACAAAAAGTTAGAGAGCAGGGCTTGAAACTTAATCGCGAAGAAATCTTGCAAAGTGTCGCGAGCTTTTTACGGAGGTCGTGTTAAAAGTGAATAGAACTAGGACTTATTATTCGCCACGTTCTTGCAATCTGTTCCCCTCAAGTGCTGTTTATTTCAAAGAATTCCCTTCGGAGAAGCAGTTTTTGATTGAATAAAAATATCTTGCCACCATCAACAAGAGTGTTCATTATTCTGTTAAATTTTCTGTTGAGTATAATCAACCTATAATTTTATTAAAATATCAGATTTTTAAACTCGTTTGTTATTTTCTTTAATGTGGGATTAAAATATTTCTGTTTGCTTAAAAAGTCGGAATACTTCTCTCGTGAGAGTACCCTTTGTTCGCAAAATAATAGCCGGCATACAGCTGTCAATAACGTATGCGTCGCAAGAAAAAACTGAAATGTGAAACAAAACGAAATAAACTTAATTAACGGAAATTTTCACGATTCGGGCTAAAACAAAAATGTTCTTTCTAATTACTTTCAAAACAACAAATATTTTTAAAAAAGTTTTGTTTCGAAACTTAACGAAATAATTGTTCGTACTGGTATGAAAAATATTCTTTAATGGCGTTTCGTATTCCGTCTTTTAGAAAAAGAAAGAAAATAAAATACTTTGCCGATCCCTGAGATGATGCTTGAGAGCCTCCCAGCCGCCTTCTCCCTGGCGCTTCGCTGGCGCCCCACGTGGCCTTCGCGTAGACTACGAAGCGCGCGGAGCGATCCGCCTTCTTTCGGGAGACAAAGCGCCCGGCGGGCGACCGGGGAAGAACCGAGGTCTTTGCGGCAGCGCATTCATCAATTTAAATATGCTCTTAAACGGGGCGGATATTCATTTGTAAGTCGAGCCGCTGATTGTAGGAACTTTGAAATGAGATAAGGGAAACTTGGTCGCGAAAGAAGGGTTCTCAGCGTTTTCCAACTCTGCTGTCGGAGAAAAGGAAAAGGGATGACGATATTAAGAAGGAAAGGAGGAAAGATTGGATTTTTTCTGTTTCCCTTTTTTCACTTTAGCGCGTAAAGACGTTAATCATACGACGGCCATCTTGTCGCTTTTCATCTCAGGTGACGGACTTTGAAATTAGTAACGGATCTGAGTATGCTTATTTTGCGAATTTTTCATAAAAATTACATCAACACAGTTAATAAAATATAATGTTAAATCCCCACAGAAAAACGCGAAAATAAATTTACGAGAGATGTTCTAAATAAACAGACGTTATTTACCTGGCTGTGTGATTTTTTTCCTAGCATTGAATAGCGACTCTCATTGTCCAAATGAAAGTCCTTTGGTGCAAATGAAAAAAAAGAACCTCTACCTCCACGTTGTGATCTGTGCGTGGAGCACGTGCGGTGTGTCTGACGTATTTGTGTTCCTTTGTCTCATGTAGTTCATGGGGCTGTTGCAGAGGTCGGCGCGCTCGCCCTGTCCCATCGTGGCGAAGCAACCGCGGGATCACTCCTCTGCCACCATCCCGCGCGCCTCCACGCCGGCCACGGCAGGTGAGTCTCTCTTTATTTTTTATTTGTTGTTTATTTATTTTTATTATTTATTTATTATTTATTACTTACTATTTATTACTTATTTATTATTTATTACTTACTATTTATTACTTATTATTTATTTAGTTTGTATTTATTTATTACTTTTAATTTTTTTATTTATGTATTTATTTATTCACTTATTTATTGTTATTCGGTTGCACGAAGGAAGGTCGGTAAATATTTTTACTTTGCACTTTGTAAGTTTATTTCCATTCTAAGCACGAACAAATCAATCAACGGGTTTGGTGGCGAAATAAATGTACGATTTGATTTCTGCGAGGATGTGATATTAGCAGTATCAAGTACCTTAAAAATCAATATGTCGGACAATCACAAGTGGGGTTTGTCCTAGCACTACTCATTAATCGGCGTTCTGTATATTTTGAACAGTTGACATTGTATGCGTGTATTTCTAAGCAAAGATGTTTGTCTAGTTAAAATATCTTGTGTAAGGTAATGTAGTTTAATAATGCTGATGCATTTCATGAAGTTACTTCTCGCTTCCTATCGCAGTTAGAATATACAAGCAGTGTACTCGTGTGCATTTTACGATTTTATGATTGTCGTTTCACCGTAAAATAAAATTGAAGGATATCATTTTAAAAAGCAGGCACCCTCGAGAATAATCTAATTATAATATCCCAAACCTAATTAAATATTTGCCGTTACAGGAGCCAACGTTCAGTCTGCAAAGAACCTCTATTATACTTGTATGTCTATGTTTAGAATACATCCTCCCTCTTTTTGTTGTAATATTTGGCATTGTATTCAAGACACGCAGTATTCAGGATTGTTCATTGTTTCATGGGCTTTCAACATAACATGCGAAAATATAATGAATTGAGGAAGTTACACGAAATAAACCTACAAGCACGAATGTATCGCGGAGTTTAAACGCACACAACCAAAAACAAAAAAAAACAAAAAAAACAAAAAAAAAAAAAGTATGAAAACGAGCAGTCGCCCACAATGTAGCACGACCAACTACCATCAGCCGAGCGTTTACTAACATCGTATAACATTTTATAGAGGCAGTACTGTGAATTTATTACAATGTATAGCATTTTAACGACAGCGCACACGAAGGGTTTTCGTGTAAGGTGGAGAGTACAGCGCACGCACAGTGAGTGGGTGCAGCTGCCCTCGTATACACTCTCGCACACGTGCACTCGCATCAGGTGAGCACGCGCTCCCTTTCTGGCCGTGCACCTTACCACGTCTCCTTCTGAGCCTCACGTGTAGGTGCGAACTACCACATACCGCGGACTGGAAGTTATTTGAATGTAACTGCTTGACTGTCCGGGAGACGCCGCGTCGTAGGCACAGGTGTCAACATTTCGGCCGCCGTTTTGCAGCGTTCCCCAGGGCGAAATACTTCGCAGGCTGCGGAAATTTACGCTCTCAAGGGTTTTTGAAGATTGCTCAGGAGGAACTGTTTCAAACCACCTTGGTACAGCTACGGTGAGTTTGAAATTTTCATGTTAGACAGCAATATTGCAGTGTTCCGTTTCTTCAACCCAAATTAATAGACCTAGGCGATAACAGCAATTGATAGTTGTTGCTTGACATGTTTTGCTTGCGGGTCGCTTGTAAAGGCTTGTTCGGTGAAGTCCTCGTGGTCTGTGCAGTTCTCTCGCAGCGCACAACGCAGCAACGTGATCTGTTCGCGCCCTCTTTCAGCAGCACGATCCTGGCTGCTCAGCCCGTGCATCCACCCTTATGAATGTTCACGCCGTGCGTTACGATCTGTCGGGTATGGAGACCCGCCAACTTGGCAGAGCACGCTGTCGCCCGCTCTCCGGAGATCCCACCAGCACTACGACTTCTAAAACCTCGACTGCCGCATTCGCCTCCACCGTCGCCACCACCATCGTCGCCGTCCGTATCGCCACCGCAACATGGCTGCCTCCTCGTCACCGTCACACCTCCACCGTCATCGCAGCACCTCTATCAGAACACCGCCACTGCTCAGCCACTGATACCTCTTCCACTACAGCCTCTTTCAACATTTCTTTCGACTCCTGCTGCATTGCCTCCCGCTTTCAACTCCACCTCAAAACCTCGCTCCCCTGCCCCCTACCTCCACCTCTACCCCATACCCCACCCCTCCTGTAGTTCTTCCCCCTACACGCCGCCAACACCACCAGGAGACCAGCACTACTACCCCTCAACCTGCACCGCATTCATCATCACCCCACACAATCTCACCATCAAATCCCGCATCCTATACAATCACGCATCCTTCAATCCGCCCGGCCAAGTCTGCAACCCATTTGACCGTCACATCCGCTTCCCCTTTCTCCCACCCACACCGTGGCAAACACACCCGCTTCATTTATACTCCACCGCTTCCACTAGCAGCGTCAGCAGCAGCAGCCCGCTTGCGACGCCGCGTCGCGTCGCGTCGCATCGGTTGGTCGGTGGGTCGTTTGGCTGAGGGCCTAACTGCCGCGCCCCGAGCTCCGCCTGACGCTGCGGAGTCGCTGCTCTCGCACAGCGTGCTGTGCAGCCTCGCCATCCGCGCGCGACACGAACCTGCACGTCGCTTAATTGCGCGCGCTGTAATCCGCCATTATCGCGCACCCCGCGCGACACTTATCTGCTTAACCTATTGCCGTTATTAATTCAGTAACGAGTGGTTTTAAAAGTAACTCAATACGTGTCATTCTTCCCCTTCGGAAAAGGGCCGCTCTAAATTGGTGTTACCACACATTAGCCGCATAAAAATTACACCCGTCCCACGCCCGGTATGCTGTAAAACAAGTAATCAGGCCGGGGCCGTATAACAGGTTCAGGGTAATGAGCGAGCCGGGAGAGCGGCCTTTACAATTTATCGGCAACACGTCCGAAGGGGGAGCGTTTTTCTTCCCGGGTGCGGCGGCGGCGGCGTGGAATGGAGCAGGGCGTGAGGGAGCGGGGGCGGCAGGAGTGGAGCTGAAGATGGAGATGGTGAGGAAGAGAGTGGGAGACGGAGACGGAGACAGGGTGTCTTTACGAGGGAGTGCTTTCACGCTGACGATTATTCAGGGAATCGAGGACTAGTATTCGCGAATACGCGAGTATTTTATACAGGGAGCGTCAACTCTTTAAAAATTTTGTCCGTAAGTTTGGTGAGCGTTGTAACCCTGGAAGTAAGTGTTCCTTCCTCGCTGGAACGAGAAATTCGGCGCTGATTTAGGCCAAGTATGCAACCGGTCTCCCGAGGTGTGGTGCTGGTAATGTAAATAGGCGTGTGGTGTAAAACGGGGGAGTAACCTGGTTGAGGAAGGAAAGGTCGCGTAGTTCTTGGCGTCTTCATATAAGTGCTGTCCCGACATTCACCTGGCTTTGATTGGATGACCCCCAAAAAGTGCCGATCAGAGCTACTGCTCGCTGGCATTTTTCTCCAGACAGTAATAGAATCCCCCCCCCCCAACTACGCAGCTAGTGGTCGGATATCCGCCACTGTCGGCACTGGATCCCTAGGACCTTCCGGTCAAGCAGAAGCAACAAACTCTGCCTCTATGCCATTGCAACCGGCGGTAGAGGAGCCGGAGAAGGAGAGGGCGACGGAGAGAGTGGCCGAGGCAGGGGCGGCAGTGGCGTTGATTGCGTTTTTTTTTTCTCTCTCGCGTGGGCGCGCTGGGAAGGGAGCAGAGGGTGGGGGGCGGGGTTCGCGCGTAACCGCGCGGTCTTCGAGCGTTAGAGCCCCCGCGCCGCATAAAAGTGACATTTATCGACGCCGCTGCGGCCGGCGTTCCCGAGAAGCGCGTTGCGGCGCGGCGCGGCGCGGCGCGCCCGTCTGCTGTTTTTCCTCGCTCGTCGTGCGAAGCGTCTTGGGAGTAGAAGCAGTGTGCGCAGGCGCGCGGCGTTTGTTCGCACGCTTGCCAACTGCTGCGTGGAGCTCGTCTTATAATTTTGGATTTGTATGTCGCGTGGAGCTTCTTAAAAATATTTCACGCGCAATTGATTCTACGTGCTAATATTTCGCGTGCTAATTCAATAGATATTTTTCAACCTAATTGGCGACACCAAAATTCATGTTGCGACTGATTTGCTATATCACTTTTGGACTATACTATTAATGCTTTTACATATTTTCTGTGTTAGTTACATCTTATCGACGTCCTTAAACAACGTCCGGCGATCATAGTTTGGTCATTGCCATTTTAATCGTTGCGGTTGTGGTTTTCTGAGTTCAGAATAGATATGCCACGAAACCTGCTTCCCGGCGACTGTATTTTGCGGTTACTTGAAGGAAACCCTTTTACTGCGGAACACTTATCGTTTGTTAGTGTGTCCTTTACTGTTAATTTAAACGTCATGTGGTTGTTGTAGTGTATGATGAACGTTATCGCTGGAATAAAATGAGTTAAAATGGTACAGTTTATTAATACATGCTGACGTAAGAATTATCAAGAAAAAAAGTTGGTATTCCTAAATTTGTCATTGGGCATGCCTTCTTCAATGTTCGGATGCTAATGAGGCTTCAAAATGAATACCAGTTTTTGGACGTTCGTAAATGGGGTAAAAAGTATTGGAGTCAACTTGAAATATAATAATTTTCGTGATTACCCCAAATTGTATCCACAGAACATTACTTTTTCAATACATCGCAGTTATAGCATTGCAGAAATTATATACAATGCATTCTCAACAATAAGGATTCTTAAAGCTTCGAGTCGCCTTGCCGACAAAAGTTGTTTGTACTGTTTTGAGAGAAAATAGGAGTTGGCATGTAAAATTTATTATGTTTAACTGGTGGAGACGTCTTGTAAAAAAGGAATCGTAATGATTAATTCCAAAAATAGCCCCATTAAATATAACTTCGATGTAAATATCGAAGTAATTTTGTTGTAATAAAATAGTTTAAAAGAAAATCCATGTATAAAGTATTAAAATATTTGAGAGTCACGCTTAAGGATTAACGAAAAAGATGACGACGAACGAAAAAGATGACGACGACGATAAATGAAAATAGCAATTAAGAAATATTACTTGAACGTTTTGTGTCAGAAACTACATAGAAAAGTAAACTGTAATTTTTCATTTCGGACCAAAAAATCCTCAAATACGGTTATACTTGTACGTCGCAAACATTGTCAATTTTTTAGATCTATTACAAACACCCTCCAGAATAGCTCGACTACCACCCGACACGCCTCAAACGACGCATATTCATAAATGATGTACACCCATATATACAAACGTACATACGTATACATACGTATACATATACATACGTATATAGCGTACATACACACACCTTAGACTAGAGACACAGAGAATGTGACTGCACTACGAAGCTAATCGCACAAATCGTACTTATGTTGTTTATGAAATAAAACTTTCAATTGCGGAAACCCATAAAACGTTACAGTCTAATCAAGCTTGAAAATACAACCACCAATTTTCAAACGTCGCTGTCCGACATTCCGGTTGGCAGCCGTGGTCGGTCCCCTAGTTCTTCGGGCCAAGACGACAGGTCCCCTGCTCGTTTTTTCTATGCGGAGCCGTCGTTGTTGTCGTCGCTTCGCGTCCGAACCTTCCCTGTTTGACATTCCGACGATTTGCTACCCGTCGCCTTTGTTTGCTGCTCGCACTCCTCCTCCACATCCTTCTTCACCCTTTCGTCTCCTGCCCCACTCTCCGCCACGTGTGCGGACTCGCTAATAACTCTAGGGAATTATCTGCTCTGGAAACAAGAATCGCGGTATGCGTACTGCGTTTGATTATTGTGTTCATTTTCTTACGGACTTGACTGAATTGTGTTTTTAACGCAACGGAAATTGCATTCAAATAAATACTAGTTTGTCCCTCAATTTGAAAACGGGAATCCCCGTCCGAAATATGGATATATTTGCTACATACTCGTTTGTGTGTGTGTGTGAAACATTTGTAAATCAGTTTTATTCATTCATTTGCCTGTAGTTAAACTAGCGCTTCATTAATTCGATGTGCGAGCACCAATGTTCTATATAATTTTTTTGTGTTCATTACAAAGTTAGCTTTGTAACAACAGATATACTACCAGTAATCAATTGAAACATTTTAATTAATAATCCAGCGTCCACTTTTGTGCAATATTCCCCCCGAGAACAATTTGTAGTTTTGTTGTCTGTTGTGTTAACATGTAATAAAAAAAATATATGCACGATCGATGCTGTATTCTAAACCATTGTTGGTTCATTTCAAGGTAAACTATTTCATTCCCAGGAACATTTCTGTCAACTCCGTGCCCCGTCCCGCCACCTCGGGAGGGGAGGAGATGCTTGAAAGTTTTGTGCAAAATTTACGCGCTTCGCTTGGAAGTTGCACGCTGCGGCGGCGGAGCTTTTTCCCGCTCTGGATTCCTCGGTCTGTCTCGGCGCGCTGTCTGTAGGTGGTCGCGGCGGCGCGGCGCGACGCGACGCGGGCGCGTTCCAGAAACTGGTCCGGGTCGCCCTCCGGAGCGCAATCGCTGACGCGCGATCTGGCGGAGCGAGAGCATCCCGCTCTTGCCCAAAGGAACGCAGCCGCCGCCAGGCGGCGGAGGTTAATAACGTCGCTGGAGTCCCCAGATGTTGCGCATTCTTTTTTTTTTCACCGCCGATTCCGCCATTTTAATCTCTTTTATTGATCCGAGCATTATCCGCGCGCGTTTTCTTGAGTCCTCGTTTCGATGGAAGCGAGGAGTGGAAGGGATCTGAATTTTCTTCGGTGAAATAATAATTGTTGAATTCTGTATACTTAAATCATAAGATATTCTTCGTTTTTTTTTCTGTAGAACTTGTTACGTTACTGGTATCTTATTAGCCAACACCCATATTGAGATTTTCACTTTTCGGTTGACTACCGTTCGTTCACCACACACAGCTTTGCTGTGCCTTCTGTTAACAGAGTTGTAGACAGCTCTGCAAATTGATGAATTCCGGTGAATGTACTAAAATTATTGGTTAAAAATGTTGGACTTTCGGCTATATTACGAGAAGAATTTTCGCTTCACGCTTTTCTTGCCCGCAGATATGTGTGTAGAGATTGCTACTTGGGGCGTGATTCTTCTAGATTCCCTTGGTTGTCTAAACAATTAATCCATCATTCAGTGTCAATGATAAACTCAATCGACTTTAAGTTCGCGAAATGAGCTAGTGAGATGACTTACAAGGTTTTTCCTACAAAATAGATGATATAATCAAAGATGGAAATGAATTTGCCTCACAAAAAGAAGTGGATTCCTGTTTACCCGCCATCGCTTCAGGATAGATTTGTTTTACATCGTGCGCTTGGTGAGTTTTTTTTATCATCTTCGCACCTTTGAAAGCAATAAACGGATTTTGATGATCGAAGAACGAAACTATCAGTTTTTAGCGCGCTGTTGTGTACAACAGCGTATGATGTATAAAATTACATAAGCATCAAAGCATACTAAAACATCCTCATACGTGTATTAATCAAACTTGCATCATCACGTGCAAAAACTTCAAGAACAATCGTTTATTGTTTCATCATAATCGAACGACAATCTTTTGTTCTTGTGTGCTCTTTGTACATACAGGAATTACATAGATTGGAAATAAATTTACATTTACTTATATTTTATCCATAAACGTTAACATTATGTGTAGCACATACGTTATTTATTATACATTATGTTATTATACATTATATTTATTATACCTTATTTAGCACTTAAATTAGCTCATACGTTGTAAGTTAGTTCGTAATTTGTATTTATTTAATTAGTTTCTACTGCTTTTATTTTCTTATAATACATATTGTTTTGTGTAAATGTCTATAGATGTCACCAATTATTGGTGAAATGACTCTCTTCATGTATATTTTAGTGTTAACAATTGTGTCAGATATTCGTCGTAAAGCACAACTCGCAAAATATTAAAGCAGTAGTGAAAACAAAACCAAAAAACCGTCGTTGTACGTGCGTTTGACGAGCGCCTCGTTGCCCGCAGCGTCGGCGCCCATCGCGACCACGACGACGGCGCCGACGATGACGACGGCGACGGCGGTGGTGACGACGACGACGACCACCAGTCACCGCGACATCGTGACGACGCCCGTGGTGGGGCGCAGTCACAGCCCGCGCGGACACAGCCCCAACCGGGAGCGCGACAGCTACAGGTGAGCATCGCTCCGCGTCCCACCCCACTAGGGATGCGACAAAACATCAATGTTTCTATTAAAATATCGATGTTTTATACATCGATGTGTTGAAACCCATGTTTTCTGAATACCGATGTTTTGAGTTCGATTTTTTTACGTTTTCAATGTTTTGTCTTGATAAAATAATCACGATTTTGTAAAGGTTAAAATAAGGAACAATAACTGATGACTCCAATATATGTTTTTATTCGATCAAAACGAATGCGGTTTGTTCTATCTTCATCGCTCAGACTACCATCCCTTGCTCGAGGTGTTCTTGATGGCCTGGTATTTCCTTGGTCTTTCATGTATTTCGTACATAGAGAGACGTTGTATACCTTTGTAGATAAATTTTAATTATAAATTAATAAGCATGGCCATTGTCAAATTAAATTTTGTTGCGCACGAATTTAATGTTAGAGGTTACTAAAACTACTTTATAGCATCGATGTTTAAAAACATCGATGGTTTTTGTTCGATATATTCTTAACATCCATGTTTTGATTTTGCACATCGATGTTTGCCAACATCGACGTTTTCTTGTCGATGTCGCATCACTACTTCCCATCCCTTAGCCCTGCTGGTCCAGTCACTATGGGTATCTGACTTGGGGAAAAAATCGTAAAGTTCTTTCTTTTTAGGCGGTTTTATATTTTATTTGTGGTGCTGAATTCGAGTTTCGTGATTGTCACTTCGAAAAAGGTAGATAATAATTAAGAAACTAAAAACGTCACCCTTTCTTCAGTTTTGCGATTATACATGGCGGCCACTTTTTGGAAAACTGGGGAAAATGAGGAAATTTCAATGCTCTTGGAATGTCAGGAAATTTTTAGAAGAATCTTTGGAAGTCAGGGAAAATTTTGAGAGGGTTAATATAAAACTAGAAATTATTCCTTAACACGTTTCTATGGCGTTCTATTTTCCTGAATTTTTATTTGGTAAGAAAATATTGCCAATTTGTACTTTGGTATGGCAAATCGGAGATATGAGCAATTTTTAGGAATAACTTTGATATTTTCTTTAAGTAGTGTGAAATTGCATATCTTGCCAAGAAAGAATTGACAACAATACCTGGAAAAGTCAGGGAAATTTCTTCCAGGAAATGAGTGGCCACCCTGCTATATCTCCAAAACTATGCGTATTACCGAAACAATTTTCTATTTACAGAATTATAATTTTCTACACTATTTGTAGCACCTGGTGACTGGACTAGACGGACGATGTGGCATTGACCCTATTTACACTATTCCTTTTCATGAAAGATTCCGGACGATTCATGAACGATTTGAGAGTACTCGCGCATGTGTAGGGTTTCCTCGAACGCCAGAAGCGTCCCCGCGTATTCGCTAAAACTCTGGAATGGTTCCTCAAAAGGAAGTGTATAAATTGGGTCTCCTGGGTCTCGCGCCTTACAAAGAGTGGATTAATACATAAATAGACTATATGTATGTTAGGGCCCTCGGTGGATAAGAATCCCAAAAATAGTTTAAACAAAATTTTGTGTTATTTCGTAAACATGAACAAATATTTTTATTAAGCAAGTATTTTTATTAAGGATACAAACATGTATAAAATGTAACATTTGAAATCAGAGATAATCCTTTTTTTAAATTTGCCTTTCGAAAATATTAGCCTTCCGCTGTTCGTAATATTTCGATTCTGGTGAAAGTGTAGCTTACCTTTTTTCTGCACATGTCTCAGATTTATGAAGAGCATGGTATAACAAGATGAGACACGCTTTGACAAAAATCGTGATATTACTATTTACGAAAAGCAGGAGGTTACGGAGTCTAGTGAAGCGTGTATTGTTACTGCCCCAAGCTCTTCAGTTACATTTGCATTCATGTGTACCCTTGTAATTTTATTCTAAGCATTTTTCAAATGTCAAAAGTTATGGTTTTACTTTGGTACTTAATTCTTACGTTCAATAACTAAAGTTCAATATTAGAGGCCCCCATTGCTTGGTCATGGTCAGGGCCTCATTAATTAAGATGTTAATCTGGCCCTGGGCCTCCCTTTCGCTGAAACACACAATTCCCGGAATGAACTTCTTGAGCGAATGAACGAACAGATGCAGTGACTTTCTCTGTTGTAATCACTCGTGTCTGTTTGTCTATGTACGTCTTACATCTTACGCATACAGAGATGTAGTAGAAGACGTGCTGCTTGAAGATCGATAACTTCCATTGTGAGTGTGATTTCAAGAAATTCGCTCTAATTTTAACTTAATTATTATGCGTTTATGCCATGATTTCTTTTGTTATTAGCGATAACAATTGCATAAGATATGAAAGTTGTATGGACGATTTTTCGAAATTTTTTCTTCCCGTCGCTTGCTTATAATTTTATACACGGAGACAGACTAATACATACACATACATACACATACATACATGCATACATACATGCATACATACATATACACATTCCGATACACACATACATACTCGTATAAACACACACACTCACATACTCCGTGGCCTGAGTCTCCTTCCCGCCCGCTTAGTCTATAGTGACCAGGCTGAGTTTAGCTGAGAGCTTGCAATACCTCTGTATCTGCAGCGACTCTGTCCGGAAGGTCTTAGAATTCGAATCCCGTCGGTGGCGATTTCTGGACACTAGTTTTATAGCTAGGTCGAATCCAGCCGCTGTCTGGAGGAGAATTCTTGAGGCCTGCTTGGCTGATGGATAGTTTACCGTGGTTTCTCCCACCAATACTAGGCGAATACCAGAGCAGTACTTTATCAAACGGGCCATGGACCGCGCGGGATATTTCCTTTCTTTTCCTTGATATATCCTCTCCCCCTACACACTTACACTAACGTGCATTACACTACGACATATGGTGGGAGACCGATTAGGAGCCTAGAGCTTGTCCCGGCTGGGTCGGTGCCCCGTTGGGGGAGATACCTGGAGGGTAAAATCCCTCGCAAGCCGACGTATAGGTCTGTGCCAGGTCTTACCATCCAGGGGGAACGGAATCACATCCACCTCTCAGGATAAAACATTCACTACACAAACGGGGCTAATGACCACAGCAGTGGACCTGCCCTGAAGTATTAATCGATTGGAGCTGCGTTTGGGAGGCCGGTCGGCGGCGCCGTCCGTGTTGTGTGACACGCGTGTTTTCGTGCGCCCGCAGCAGCAACGTGAGCAGTCTCAGCCGCAGCAGCATCACCCCGGTGAGCGCCGCGGCGCTCTCCTCCAGCGTCATCACGTGCAACTCCTCGCCATTCAGCTCGGCGG